GTGCATACACATCTGCGTAGGTGTTCAGGATCTCCTATAGGTTGCGTTCAGTGTGAGGGACGAGGGTGAGTTCGCCTGCATACTGAAGTTCATTAATGGAAGCTGCCGTCACGTTTGTTCCTGCCTGGAGTCGTTTTAAGTTGAAAAGATCCTTCATCCGGCTAAATTGGCACTGGAAAAGAGAGTTGGCGCCAATACACATCCTTGTTTTACCCCCGTTTGGATGGGGAAGAATTCAGGCTGGGTGCAATTATGCAGGACACTGCTGTTCATGCCATCGTGGAGTTGCTTCATAATGGCGATGAATTTTGGTGGGCAGCCAAAATGACTGAGGGCATCCCTGTTGACCGAGTCGAAGACCTTGGTTAGGTCGATGAAAGCTATGTACAGGTCGCGACGCTATTCTCTGCACTTTTCTTGTATCTGGCGGGCAGCAAAGATCATGTCAGTGGTGCTACGTGATGGTCTAAATCCACATTAAGCTTCTACGCCCTTAACTCATGAGACATAAAGGCAAGCATGAACTTAGCATGCATCCCTGTTGGGCGCTGTAAACGCTTCTGCGCTTCACCTTACACAAGGATGTAGGGGAGTGCCCAATAAAAAAAAAAAATTAAGATTCTTTTGAGAAGGATTTTCGCCTCAGGGAGAAGTCTCTTTAGGAGGACTCGGGTGATAATCTTGCCAGCTACGGACAGCAGCGAGATCCCGTGGTCGTTGCCGAAGTCTGACCGGTCTCCCTTGTTTTTATAAATATTGATGATGGAGGCGTCTTTAAGAGCTTGGGGGATTTCCCCCTTTTTCCATATATTCTCCAGGAGAGAATGGAAAAGGCTAGTAAGCAGAGGTCTTCTTGCTTTATACACCTCTACTGGGATTCCATCAGGCCCTGAGACTTTGTTATATTCATCTGTTTGATGGAGGATAGCCTGAGATGATCAGCTCTGTATGCTGAGGGACCTGCTGGGTAGTCAGGACATCCACATCAGTGTTTCGGTTGAGTAGAGAATGATAGTGCTCTTTCCAGCGCTGACGGATGCTTCGTCATTAGTTAGGAAGTTACTGTTGGATGAGCAGAGGGGGACTCTACAATGAGTGATTGACCCATATAATGTTTTTGTGGAATTGAAAAATTCGCGCATCTTGTGTTGATCTTCAAGTTTTTTGCATTTCACATGCTTTATTTTTAAACCAGTCATTCTTTAGTTTGCGAAGTTTGCTCTGGGCCGCCACTTTCTTCTTGCGTAAGGTATCAGTTTTAGTCCGAGACTGAGGGTTATTCTGCCAGTCAGTTAAAGCAGCACGTTTATCAATGACGAATACATTGATTTCTGGGCCATTTTCATCAAATCAGTCCTGGTGTATTCTTTCGATCTGGCTGAGGGTCTCTCTGCATGTTTTTGTCATGACAATGTCGAGAATGCCCCATTCGACACTGGGATTTGGGTTGTTTGTTGTCGGGTTGCTTATCACCCCATGTTCGAGCTGCTTTCTGAAATCATATACTACCGCTGGGTCTTCCAGATGCTTACTGTTAAAACCTCTTCTGGAGACTTGCTGCCTTCACCGTTTCGGGGCGACGTGAAACGAGCCTATGATCAGTGTCACAGTGGTCTGTGCCACGCATTGCTCGGATGATGAGGACATCTCGGCGATCTCTTTCTCTGACAATGATGTCAATGAGGTGCCAGTGTTTGGATTGTGGGTGTTGCCACGAACCCTTGAACTTGTCGGCCTGCCTAAACAAGGTATTGGTGATGGTGAGGTTGTGTGCAGTACACTTGCTGAGGAGGAGTAGGCCGTTGGAATTACACTTGCCTAGTCCATTTCTCCCTATGATTCCCTGCCAAATGTCAGCAACTGCCAACTCTGGCATTGAAATCACCAAGGAGCACAACTTTATCTTCTCTTGGAATAGAGGTTAGCATTCTGTCGAGGTCGGCATAAAAGGCCTCCTTGATGTCATCCTCTGCATCCAGTGTCGGGGCGTATGCACTGATGAAAAAGGCATGACGTGAGTGATTCATTGGGACTCTTGAGTGTCATTAGACGCTCGTTGATCCCAACAGGCATTTCAGTTAGCCTGTGTAGGATGCTCTGGCAGATGGCAAAGCCAACTCCATAAAAATGCGTTTTCTCTCTGCAGTAGGCTTACCCTTCCAGAAGAAGGTATAGCCAAACCCCAGTTCTCTCAGTCGACCCTCGTCCGGGAACCAGGACTCACTAATGGCTGCTATATCGATGTTATACCTAGCCAGCTCTTTTGCCACAAGGGCGGTTCTTCTTTCAGGATGCACATTTGTGCCAGTATCCAGAAGTGTCCCTGACATTCCATGCAGCGACCATAAGAGGTTGTATAGTTTGTTTTTATTTTAATTTGGGATTATATTAGTGTTTTCGACTGCATAAGGATGACCTTACTGGGTGTGGTTGCCCTGTTAGGTTGGTTCTTTAAGCAAGCCATGTTTAGGACACCTTTTCTAACCCTCTCCCATGTGGGGTGAGCAGAGTGGCTCCTCGAAAGGGCTGCCCAATCGCACAGACAGGATCAGATTGCACTGCTGCCTAGATCCCAGTGCATAAACGACCATTTTATCTGTGCCGCCCATGTGCAGAGCTGTGACTAGAGACTCCCAGCAGTCGTCTCTGCCTGTCCCCGTCGCCACTTGTCCGTCGCCATAGGACTTTTGGGGTATAAGGGTTTGATGATGATGAGGATTATGATGAGCTGAATGATGGCAGCGCTTGAGTTGAATTTTATGTGGTGAGGCAGGAATGCAGACTGATTCAGTGGTGCAAGTGTTGCAACGATTGAGGGCGAGTTGCAATGGACTGCCGATAGCCCAGTTTGTTGGGTTTCCCCTTATTAGCTTGTCCAATTTGCATTGCCTTCATCTGCTGGTGTAGTCGTTAGGTTCCCATGTTGGTCACCTCTTCCACCTATACTGCCGTTGGGGTCTTGTTGAGCTCTGTAAGCATGTCTGCCTGATGCAGGGCTCCACCGCGGATTTTTCGTTTGGTGATTACTCCCGTAGCCTTATACCTACCAAGGTTAATCCACAAGGCAGCGGGGCAGTGGTTGGTATGCGCCTGAACGTGTCCACGTGCCAGTGGGGCCTATGCGCCATCCCTCTGGGGCCCACTACTACTCCGAGATTCCCTGCTGGTCCCCATAAGGCACCCAGTTACCGTGTGTTGCCACGAGGAGGCACAGCAGGAGTCTTAGTGGTGAAGAGGCTGTGCTCTGGCAGGGGAAGACTTTTGCAAGTTCCTTCCCTGTTCGCCTCTAGGGCTAGCCAGCGGCGGTAGCTGAAAGCGAGAGGAATCAAGCAGTGCTTGCATCTAAACACTCACATAATACTGCCACACTAGACGCATTACACTACCTTCTGTGCACACACACACACAGACACACACACACACACACACACACACACACACACACATACATACATCCTTGACCACCGAAGGGTCAAGACGTACCTGGCGCTCCTCTCGGAGCAGCCAGGTCAACTGTTAAGTTGGCCCATACCAACCCCCTCCCCTGAACCCTCCTCCTCACCGGAATATCAACAAGTTCTCGCCAGAAGTTACAATTTCATTTAGGAAAGGAACGGAACCAGTGTTAAACCGAGGTGAACAGTGGTGAACAGTGCTTAAGTCAGTGAGAACAACTCAACAGTAACAGTCGCACCCAAGTTAACCTTCACACAGTGAGGTCCCAGGTACCCAGTGATAACGGCCCCCGCGAGACCCAACAACAACCACTGATGTGTTAATCCGTCTACGATAGGAAGGCCTGGGACCAAACCTCACTCATATAACACCATCTGTGAGGGAATTACTACACGACATGTCCCTCATAAGACCATATGTGAGGGAATTACTACACCACGTCAAGTCCCTCATCACACCATCTGTGAGGGAATTACTACACCACGTGAGGTCCCTCATAACACCATCTGTGAGGGAATTACTACACCACGTCAGGCCCCTCATAACACCATCTGTGAGGGAATTACTACACCACGTGATGCCCCTCATAACACCATCTGTGAGGGAGTTACTACACCACGTGAGGCCCCTCATAACACCATCTGTGAGGTAATTACTACACCACGTGAGGTCCCTCATAACACCATCTGTGAGGTCACCACGTGAGGTCCCTCATTAAATTACTACACCACGTGAGGCCCCTCATAACACCATCTGCGAGGGAATTACTACACCACGCCAGGTCCCTCATAACAACATCTGAGGGAACTACTACACCACGTGAGTTCCTCCTAACACCATCTGGGAGGGAGTTACTACACTACGAGTTTGCTGTTCAACACCTACATTAATCTGTATGTTCACTGTATGTTCCTTTACCTTTCTCTAATGAAGGCTTTTGTTAAACCACCAATGTATGTAATAAGTCATTTATGTCCAATGTATATTTTCAGCCTTCGGGCTGCAGAATTTTTTTCAATGAACCGTCAATTATTATTATTATTACACACACACACATACACACACCTACACACACACATACATACATACATACAATCACACACACACACACACACACACACATAAACACACACACAAATGCAAGCAAAAATATACACATTTACACGTAATAATACATAATGTGCTTATGCACAGATGTACATACGCACACAAACGGACATGTACTCACCGTAACTTCCCCTCTCTGAGTACACTTGGGGTGGAGATGGTAATGGGGGGAGGGAAGAGGGTTCAGGGAACACATTGTCAATCCCTCTTCACAAACCGCTGCGAAAGACTCCTTCCAATTACCCCTTCTGCCCAGTCAATTCTCATCTCTAAGCCCATTGATTTACAATTGATGGGAGGAAAGGAATGAATATTTCAGGGATACTTTGCCCTTTCAACCTTACATCAACCAATCCTCCCCTTCAATACACCACCCCATTTTTTTGTGCTCCTCTTTCTCTTCTACTTTCCTCCTCCTCACTCCCGTCAACACTCACCTCTGAGCACGTAGACGGTAACGGTCGCCGGGGCAGCATTCTCAGGAGCGCAGGTGTAGTTGCCGGAGTGTTGTGGCCCCACATCGACCACGACAAGCCTCGACCTACCATCCATCGTGTGTACCGCCACATCCTTCTTGCCGGAGTACTGTACCACCTCCCCGTTATGGTACCTGTGAAAGAGTCAGTATTATTATGGTACCTGTGAAGGGGTCAGTGTTATTATGGTACTGTTTAGGGGTCAGTATTTTTATGGTACTGACAGTACCGTACTGTGAAGGGGTCAGTGTTTTTATGGTACTGTATATGGGTCAGTGTTATTATGGTACTGTATATGGGTCAGTGTTATTATGGTACTGTATATGGGTCAGTGTTATTATGGTACTGTGAAGGGGCCAATGTTATTATGGTACCTGTGAAGGGGGTCAGTGCAGGGCCAGCGCTACCCACTAGGCGAACTAGGCAATCGCCTAGGGCACCAACATCTGGGGGCGCCACAAATTCAGGGCAAACTTGGATAAAATTAAAAATGAAGGGAAAACTGTGGTGGACACTGGTGGAGCCGTGGAGGGTCGGAGCAGGATGTTAGAAGGGGGGGGGGGTCGGAGGGAGGCGAGGGTAGTCGACTGTGTTTTCTTTTTTAATATTATTCGTTAACCCCCCGGAGGGACTAACCCGGGTCCTTATCTTTCGCGGCCTGGAGAACTGTCGAGCAGTGACCTGAAGGCTGACATCTGAGGAACCCTTCTCCCAACCCCACCATACCCTCCCCTCCCTTACTGCCAGGGCGGCTGAGCCGTCCCTTCCCTGCCTTTGTCGGGATGAGGCAAGGTTACCTGACCTCTGAAGTTTGACCTCGCATAACATAATCACACTGAGACTGGCCAGGTGATTGTATTAAGTTTTTAACGTAAATAATTTTTTAATGTGGCTTGGTCAGAGTTGCAATTATTTTTATTCATAACTGTTACAGCTCTCCATTAAGCTTTTTCTATTTATACTTAAGATGTCAATTTAATATATTGTCTGACCAATGACTGGTCACAACTCACAAGTATCTTATTTTGCACTACATACATATAATAATGATGTAATAATAGTAGGTTATAACTTGCAGGAGGCTGGAGCGAGCTAAATGCTTATGATATGTTATAATTTTTTAAAGATTACCCTAAAATAAAAAAAATGACTAAAAATTGTTTCATTGACATTTACGTCAAGGATTTATTGACTTAATGTACTAACAATAATTGGTTATTTGCATGGATGAAGTAACAAAGCCACAAGATGAAAATTATGTTATCAGTGGTGTTTCGAGAGTTAGAAACAATGTAGTAATGGGTTACTGTACACACATTAGCTTATCAAAACTTTCAAGGGGGCGCACATCTAAAGGCTTGCCTAGGGCGCCAAATCATCTTGCACCGGCCCTGGGTCAGTGATATTATGGTACGTGTGAAGGGGTCAGTGGGTGGGTGGGTATTGTTATTGTTTAAAATCACTCTTAGAAGGCTGCCATACCTAAAATTATGTTCTGTAACACTAAACTTTCAACCATCGTGTTACGTCAAATATATTCCGTACCTACGCTTACAGAACCACAACCACAACCACAGTCATACTCAACCCTGTGACCCATTACCTCATCTGTTCATATATTATACTCGTACATAATGTTTTTAGCTGGGTCTCTCCTTGTTGGTATTCACGGCGTGTGGCCATTTTACATTTTATTCAGTCCTGTATAAACAATTAATTTATTTACGTGTTCATTAGCATATTATTCTCTTTAATTAAGTAAACTCTTGTGTAAAGCGAAACAGGTCCCTGACACTCGGTGAGCCGATGTTTACATTAGGTTGGAGAGCTTCTTTAGTTAGTCACGCTCGCCCTTGTTGTGAGAATGTCAGCCTGAATTATCCTATAAGTCAGCCCCCCCCCCAGGCCCTCCTGCCTCATACTTCACCAAACCTAACGTAACCTTTCAAAGTTGACGAGACAATATATAGAGCGAGGTAAGACAACCTCAGTAACCCACCCAGTGATTCACCAAAGTCATTAACCGTGTCTTCTTATCCATTCTATTTATCTTTTACCTAACCCATAACCCTATATAGACAGGGTCAAGAACCCATATATTGATCTCGATGAAGCTCTAAAGACAGGTTAAGTACGAGAGAATCTTGAAAAGACAGTTTAGGAAGACCTTCATAGTTAGTCTTGTATAGGTCAGAGATGTTACGTTACTTCAGTACTTACCGTCTGTGTTAGGTGTCTGTTCTCTGCTGTACAGCACAATATATATATATATATATATATATATATATATATATATATATATATATATATATATATATATATATATATATATATATATATATATCTTGATAAAATCACACGGGAAAAGGGAAACAACGGAGCACCTTAGCTTTCGTAGCTTTTTATCAAGATTTATCTTATCCACGTTTTCATTGTGGATCTACATGAAATATATATATATATATATATATATATATATATATATATATATATATATATATATATATATATATATATATATATATATATATATATATATATATCCCCAAGATCATACATATAGCGTGTACATGTAGGTGGGTCCCTAATCTGCATGATTCTGGGGTTAATTTCGCACCCTGGCCAGAGGGATCATCTCCAGTTCATGCGGAAAATTTTTTAATTGGTTGAATTTCACGGTCATGCTACATCCTCTGGCCAGGCCGTGTGGAAGCAACTTCTATTTTATGATGCTGTGTTCTGTTTGAGTCACACGACATGGTCCCTATAGTGTAGCTCACCTCAACCAATATATATATTGTTGGGCTAAATGAAAAACAAAATAATGAATTTAACTAAAGAAATTGCTGTATTCGTATAAACCTTCCCAGAAACCAAGTGATGGTCGCACTGCGGTAGAGGTAGACACGACCTGCCCTGTGTTTACCCTGGACTGTGAGTTGTCCCTCTAATGTGTTTATTATTGTTATAGTGGCAGTGAACGGCTCCAGCTTTTGTCCCCTTCAGCAGTCTTTTCATCAGTCTCTTTAGTATTAGTTGCAATGATGAGCCAGAGACCAGCTGATATATTGTGATTATTTTGTTTCCTTAACCTAACCTAACCTAACCTAACCTAACCTTACCTTACCTTACCTAATCTAATCTAACACATCCTAACCTAACCTAACTTAACCTAACCTACTTCCCCCTCAGGTATCGTTACGGTGTTTAATCATCAGGTGTAATAAAATGGGGGAATAATCTTCAGATGATCCACTAAATAATAAATATGTTAACATCAAGAACTAGACGTAATTTAAACGCTCTATTATAACGTCAACAGACAAAGCTCTAAATGGCATAAAGAAAATAAAAACAAAGGGTAATTATCATCTGGTAACAATAGTTGGGTTGTTATTTTAGTTTACCTTAAGTAAACTGAAAGACTTCTACAATGAGGACACATCCTTAGGCTACCTGTCCAATTAAAAAAGTTACCCTTTCAAGTATCTATAATTAAGTAACATTTTCTTTGATTCTATATTCTTTCGCTGTTTGTGTACAAGGAAAAGAGAGTTTATCGTCCCATTACTCATACTATCGTTATCCCACATGCTGGTCAGGGTTAGACAGACTGACTTGGATCAATCGTTAACACGGATCAATATTGGTCATAAAATTTACATATAGAGTCGATTTTGATTCATTAGCGTTACTACACCTGTTGGGTTTAACTAATACCGATATTGGGGTCAACTCGGGTCATAAATCTGTATTCAGAGTCAACATGACATGAATATACGGGGTGATTTATTAACATCCTCACCTCCCTCGTGTACAGTAATTACCTATATTCTGACCCATGTTGACAGATGTTGTGGATGCCATGAGCGGTGTGTGTGTACTGTGGATATATACAGTATGTATATCCGAGTTTATATGTATCAATAATAATGTATTCAGAATGAGTGTGAGATATACATATTATAGATGAGTGATACATAGGTTGGATCAATAGCCACTGTGTAAGGGTCAGTGTGTATCATTAAGCTGTGTTAGTCAGTTATATGAGGCTTAATATGTGTCTTTATTCATCACAGGAGAGACATTTTATTTGGATTCAATCATGACAACTTTTCGAATCACAGTCTATGAAATATAGTAGTGTTCAGAAGCATCAATACTCGAACTAGTCAATGATAATTAATTAAACCTTTTTCGGCTTAAATGTTCACTAAAGTCAAAGATATATCGTGAGATGATTTAATATTATGATTGGGTCGAGATTCACAAATTTTTTCATCAGTAATGTCTCCTAAAAGAAGCCAAGTAAATACATTTAACGAAGAATATCCATCGGACGAACTCTTGACAAATTTGACCTAAGTTTTTGAGCCAATAATCCAGGTGTAGACAGGTGGTGAGGCCAATAATTACGATTTTCGGATCATGACAGATCTGTTGAGACAAGACGAAAAAGTATATCTATTTTCGTATCAAAATGTGTAAAATTGAGACGATAATATCTGATAATTAACCAACTGAAACACTGGTGTGGGGTTAAATAACAATATATGATAAAACATAGTATTAGTAAAATATTTCGATGATGTCAGGCAAAGTTATCACCTTTATCCAGATCAGATTAAATCATTATTTTCAAGTATACAATAAATCGTAAAACAAATCTATGTTAATTGAAAATACAAAAAAACTTGATCCAGTAACCATTAATATCCAAATCAGTTTAAACAACCAGTACTTTCGTGACCACATTAGATCGTCAAACAAACTTGTATTATTGAAAGTAACACAAATGCTTTATCCAGTACTCAGCATTAACCAGATCAGATCAAATAATCACTAATTAAAGGACCACAATGGATTTTAAAACATGACCAAAGTTCACATGGGAGGTGTGTGTGTGTGTGTGTGTGTGTGTGTGTGTGTGTGTTGTGCACTAGGGTAAGGCTATTAACCAATGCGGACTCCAACACGACCTGCGGTGCTCTACGGTAAATAAAACGTGACTCATGCAACCCAAGTCTCACGCCACACACATCATACTACTCTTACCACCATCACTCTCTTCTGCTTGCCTATTTGTGGTTGTGGTGGTCGTGAGTGGTTGTGGTTGCGGTAATGGTAGGAGAGA